ATGAATAAACACGAATAGAAAGTTGTGCTCAGCTAACCGAATAAATCAGTGCAATACCAGGGCACCAACGTCCACATTTCTTTTCACTTCGGGCCGGGGCAGTAACCTCATCCGGGTATGCTAAAAATTAAGGGCAACGGGCAAGCAGATTCAAGTCCCTCTAAAAGGCGGCTGTAATTGATCGGGCAGAGGGAGCAGTGGATGATCGAAGCCCATGCCTGGCCGCAGAGGGTCGGCAGCAAGCGGCGGCCCAGCAGGCACACAAAGGACACACAGCCATGCTAAAGGGCTCGGGCAGCGAAAGCGGGGAAGGAGGGGGACAGGCAGGTGTCCTCGATGGTCTCCAGACCCCCACTCCGGAGTGCACGCTCTCCGCTGGAGTCGCAACCCGGAGCTCCTTGGGGCTGAAGGCAGCGGCACGGCGAGGGGGTGGGCGGCTGGGGGGGGGAGGGAAATAACGCCTTTAAATTGCTGCCGGAGGCCGGCTGCCGGGGAGGCAGCACCGTGTGCGGCTGTCTGGCTCCGGCCATCTGCCTCCCGTCCTCCGGCTCTCGCTTCAATATTGATCAAACGCACTCCAGCTTCCGAGTAATTTCATCTTAATCAACGGCCGAGCTGGGTGCGGATAATAAACTAATGCTGGAGAGGGGCTGTCGATAATGCTCGGCCAGGGGCAGAGAGGAGGCAGCCCTCCAGTTTGGCGGGGCTCGATAGGCCCTATCTTCCCGGGACAGATGGACTTAGTGGGTGAGAAGGCTTAAACGCAGCTTTTCATAGATTTACACCTCAATCAGCCATTCAGGTTTTTAATGCAAATCCTAAAACAACATCATTTATCCATGATGGAGACCGGCTTTGAAACGGCGTATCACTAGCTGCACCCTTGCCACCCCGAAACCGCGCAGGCACCCTCCAGGATGTGCGTGTGTCCCTGTCCCCTCCTCCGCCGCCGGCTGTCCCGCACAAAAGCCCGCAGGCTTTGGGAAGAAGCGAACACCCCCCACCGGAGCCACTCCGGCCCCGCCAGCGGGACCGCTGCAGGTGTCTCCTCCGGGTTTGGGCTGAGGCTCGGCAAAAGGAGTAACTTGAGGGGAAAGGGGCTGGCGAATGACATGAGAGCAAGGGGAGAAAGAGGTGAGACCCGAGGGGAGGGAGTGGGGTGAGGCTGAAGGCTATTTCTGGCCTCCCCTAAGTGCCACGGCACGACGGGGTGATCTTCTAGGGGCTCGATCAGAGGAAAGAAAAAGCCAAACATATCAGTGTAAAGCCCAGCTGAGGTAGATTATTGCTGCAGGCTTGAAGCCTTCTAGCTGCAGCTTCCAGATGCGAAAATGAAGGAAGAGAAAGAAGGAAAGAAAAAAAGTAAGCCCAAACTTTAACGTCTCTGAATCCTTTCCGCTATTAAACCCCGTTAAAAATAAAGCAGGATGAGAACTGCACTCCTACCAGCGAGAAGCTGAAATGTTAAAAGCCATGTACAGACAACGAAGATCTCCTTCCTACCCAAATCCGTGGGTAACTGGAAGGGCAGGGATTTTTTTCCCACGAAGGCCTCTGCGCTATCTTGCTGCGAGGGGAGGGGGAGAATGAGCAGCCTGAGCTCAAGTGTGAAATACGTGAGGGTGCCGGCTATTTAAGAACCTTTTCTCCTCTCCTGGGAAATATTTTTTCCCTCTAAAAGCCTCGTGGGAAGGGGAAGAACTGGGTCCATTACACCATCCCCTTCCCCAACCCACGCGAAACACGGGAGCCCTATTGTGTAGATCGCTGTATCTCCCCCTCAGGCAATTCCCGTCCATTCCGGTTCCGTACAGCCAGGCGTGCTTTCCTTTAACACTCTCCCCACCCACTCGTGTTGACGACGGGGCAGAGATGCTGCCGGGGCTGCCCGTGGGGAGACCCCGCGCGGAACCGCGCCTTGAGCCAAGCCCGCGGGGCGGGGGAGATGAACCCCGACGGGGCGGGCCCTGCCTCGGGCCGTTCGTGGCCTTCTCCGCGGTGCCTACCGGGGGAAAACGGAGGAGAATTCACCACCAGCACCTCTACGCGGGGCTCCGCGGTTCGTGTGCGCTCAGCAGCCCGGTGCAAAAAACTCTGTCCTGCCCTGGCCAAGGGCGTCTTACTGGAGGACACCTCCCTTGCGCAGTCTCCGCGCTCACACGCGCGGCTTTTCCTTAAGGGCACCAAAGTTTTAGGAGCGTATTTGCACATCAGCTTATTCCTTCAAATTACCCATTAGTGTCTTGCTCTAAGATCTCACACCCTAGGGGGTTCCCGGCTCCCCAGGTAGTCTCTCGGGGAGGGAGTGTGCGGGGGGGAAGTATCCTGAATCGCTTCCGAAGGCTTTCCGTAGAGCTAGCACGGACTTCCCCCTCACAAAAAGGGGAAAAAAATTAAAAAATAAAAAAGAAAAAGAAAAAAGAAAAAAGAAAGAAAGAAAGAAAGAAAGAAAGAAAGAAAGAAAGAAAGAAAGAAAGAAAGAAAGAAAGAAAGAAAGAAAGAAAGAAAGAAAGAAAGAAAGAAAGAAAGAAAGAAAGAAAGAAAGAAAGAAAGAAAGAAAGAAAGAAAGAAAGAAAGAAAGAAAGAAAGAAAGAAAGAAAGAAAGAAAGAAAGAAAGAAAGAAAGAAAGAAAGAAAGCGTATTTTCAAGTAAAAACAAGTTTAGAATTTTCGTCTCGTTAAATCATGGCTGAATAATCTGCCCAGGGCAAAGCAAAACTTTAATGAAAAAAAAAGAAAAAAGAAAAAGAAAAAAAAAAAAAAAAGAAGAAAGAAAAAAAAATAAGAAGAAAGAAAAAAGACAGATGCTGAAATACTGTTAGTCATGCAAATAAAGGCTTCTTTCAGCACATTACAATATACTCCGGATTGGAGGGGAGGAGCTGCAGCCTGCTTAGGGCGAGGAGTTTATGTTTTTGTTTTCATTTAAAGCTACAAAACAAATCGTGAAATGTCTTAACCGCTCTCTGAAGTCACCCGGCCCTGCAGACAGACGGCCAGGGGAAGCCTTTCAGCTCCCAGCGCACCAAAAAAAGAAAAAATAGGGCCGAGGGGGGGAAAACCCTGGAGCCCGCGGTGGCGGAGGGGACCCGGGGGGACACGGCCGTGGCCCTCGCCCCGCGCCACCTCGCAGCGCCGGGGTTCCCGCTGCCCCCCGCGGCCTCCGCACAGGGTCGCTCCGTCCCCCCAGATCCCCTCTGGGGTGTCGGGCCGAGCCGGGAAAGGCCGCGCAGAGCTGCAGACCCGCGGGGCAGGGCGTGGGGCGAGGGGCCCACGAGGAGGGCCTGTTTTCCCGTGGCGGACAAAAACACCAACATCACTGGATAGATAAAAAAATGGAATACTGTATTTGATTTAGAAAGTTTGTACATATAGATAAACACGCAGTTAAGGAAACAATAGTTTAAGCATCCTACGTGGAGTTTAAGAGACCCCCCCAAAGCTGCTATTAAATACTCAAAATAGCTTTTGCATAAGATAACTACAGTTGCACCCTAAGCTTTTTTTTTTTTTCTTTTCTTTTCTTTTTTGTGTCTGTCTTCTTGTTCTCTTTCTTCTCCTCCTTCTTCGTCTTCT